CGTCATTTGAAATATTCTCTTCGTTCTTGATTTTTCTTGTTTCATCTTTGGATGTCTAAGCTTTTGTTTGCAATGATAACTTGCTCCTTCTTCATTAGAATAAAGCTATAATCTAAATCTCTAAACCAAGAGACAATATTTTGTGAAAAGATGTATACATCCTACAAATTTAATCACATAAAAACATGATTGTTATGTTGACCGATGGGCCAAATAGACACAATGTGGTCTTGTAATAGGCCCAAACGCCTTGGCTGTTAGGTCACATGCTCTAAATTGGAGCAGCGGACTGAGACCACAACTTGAGGCGAGCTGTATTACCATCAAGTCAAGTTCCGACCAGCTTTAGTGTGCCGAAAACGAAGGGGAAAAACTCCTAAATCTAGACTCTGAATTATTGTAATATACCTTTACCTAGTTTCATATGTATTACTCCTTTTTTATGTATATCTGAACATTCACCTCTATATCTTGTCTATATCTTTTCCTCTTTTTTCTTTCTCTCGTGAACTAAAATTTTTTGTAGAATTTCTTTACCAATAAATGCCAACTTCTACCAATGAAGAAGAAAAAGAAGTTTATATAAAGGAATTTAAGGTTGAATTGGGGGGAAAATGGGAGGGATTTTTTATGGAATTCCAAATTTGAAATTTGAATTCCCTTGAGGGTAAGGCTCAGCCAGCTAGAAATAGTACAAAATTCAACAAATTGCAATGGATCGTTGAGGAGTAGCGTTCGATAACGACGCTAGAACGAGATAGGCGATGAGATCACTCTATTTGGCACTGCTCATGTACAAATTGTCGAGGGAGTGAGAAATACAAAAGAAAATAGTATTGGGAACGTGATTTGCTCTCATGTCGTGTGTTTGACGTGTTCTCCGTGAATTTTGATGTTGTGTGATTGTGAAATGTTGTCATTGACGTTTGGAAGTTGTTGCTAACGTTGAACTGGGTTTCTTTGCTTATGAAGGAATTGGGTCGAATCATTAAGAGATTGGGTCAGCTAAGTGGATTTTCTGGAGTAATGAAGTGGGCTGGGAATATTGAATTAAGAATGGGCTGCTGAAAATATTGGGTTGGCTAGGTTGGTTGAAAGGGGATTAAAACTTAGCCAATTTGAGTTAGTTAAGATAGATTCGCTAGTAATTAAATAAGACAAATTGATATTAATTAATTAAAGATCTCCTTAATATTAACGAAATCAAATAATTAACTTAATTGTAGACTAATTAATTTAAAACTATGAATAATTTAAACTAAACTAACTTAACAAAATACATACTAAAATTAATATATTTTTGAGATGATTTTCGAAATGTTTATAAATTATACTAATTATGTACAAAATTATAAAAAACCTACATATTACTTAAAAAATTATATAGAAAAGACAAAATTACTTTAGAAATAACTTCAAAGATATTTTAAATTTTATAAAATTAATTATTGCAGATCATTTGAAATTGAAGAAACTCGATGATTAATATACATTGTGGAGGTCTAATATTGGGTGTCAACACTAGTTTTTTAGTAAAGAGTCTTTGAGATAGTTTTTCAGTAAAGACCCTTTGAGCTAGTTTGTCAGTAAAGATCCTTTGAGCTGATTTTCAGATAAAGAGTAAATGTTTCACAATTAAGCAAGAGAAGAAACTGAGATCTACAAGATAACCTTTGAATTAAGTTTTTGAGTCATTATGTTAAATCACATAAAGAAGTTATGTTTTTAAACATAAAGAGCTAGTATATTTTGGGAGTAGTATTGAGCATCGATATGGGGGAGAGTTCAGAAAACTCTTAGCTGCCATAAACCATGTAGCCACCATGGGTAGAAAAGAGTCATACTTTTTAGATGATACTATAGTGCTTTTTAGCATAGAATAGTGTATCCACTTAGTAGTTTAGGTTCTATATTCATGGCAAGGTATTGGAAGACCGTAACAGCGTTTATAATCACAATAGCTCTTATGTGATGATTGACGGTTAGAGAAACTCCCACAATAGTATTTTTTATTTTTATATACATTAGAAATATTTGTATTTTTATTGTATCTGTGCATACATACAAAGTCGTCATCATATTTCTAAATACACAGAGTTGAAAATCATGTTCTAAAGCTTTTCTTTATACTGCATTTATTTACACTACTTTATGTTGAAATCAACTGAGTTAAGCAAAATCCAGGTAAGCGTTTCTTTCATACTCTTTACAAGCTTATGTTATGTTTAGCATTCCAACTCGCATACTCGTACACTCAATGTACTAATGTCAGTTGGCCTGCATTGTCTTATGATGCAGACGCAGGTAACCAGGATTAACATCCAACGCCTTGTTTATCCGATTTAGCACTTAGGTGAGCCTCCTAGATTTTCGGAGGATCTTTTATTGCTTTCAATATTTTAGTTCATTAGGATGTCGTGAGGCTTGTCCCGAGATATATCTCAGTTTTAGAGGCTTCATAGATAGACAATCAATTAGTTCATATGTCTTTACTTTGTTATTGGCTTATTTTCAGATTTGAGTTTTCATTTTGGCTAAGTTAAATGTTTATTTTAAAAACATTATGAGTTTAGTTTGAGACAGTTGAGTTATTTAGCATGTGGATCCTTTTCTTAATGCTCAAAGTCTTCCACTGAGTAAATAAGTCAGACCAAGGGTTAGCTTGGGCCAGCAATGATTCTCGAATGCCAGTCCTGCCTAGGGTGTAGGCTCGGGGCGTGAAAATTGGATTGGTGCAGTTTTGATTCCTATTTTGATTCATTTATATATATATCTATGTTTTGCTTATTACAGTAAAGAAAAGAGGCTTCCCACTAGCCTTAATAGATTGCTCTAACTTTGAATCTTGTTAATCGTAAAATTATCAATTATTGAGATTCATCTGGCTTTATTTTTAGGAGTAAATAACTAAACCTCTATAAAAAGAAATACATATAAAAAGTTAAATAAAATAGAGGCACTTTTGAAAATAAATAACTAATTCTTAGAAAGTATTCAATATTTATTAGTTATAATACAATAAACCAAACAAGCAATAAAAACTAATCTCACTATAACTCATCCCAGTATGACTAATCCCAACATAACTTATCTCATCATTACTTATTCCAACATAACTTATTTTCGAACCAAACGACCCCTTAGTATATAAAAAATAGGAAAAATGCACAAGTACCCCCTAGACCATGACTGAAATCCCAGAGACACACCTTAACTAAAGTAAGGTCCTATTACCCCCTTAACTAATTTTTTTTGTAATTTTTTTCACCTTTTTGGCTTACGTGACATTAAAGTATCTCTCACGCGTCTCAATTGCGTGGGGTCATAGAGTGTGCCGCGTAAGACATAAGATGTATATAATTACAAAAAAAATAAGTCAGGGGGATAATAGGACCTTAGTGTAGTTAAGATGTGTCACTGAAATTTCGGTCATAGTCTAGGGGGATACTTGTGCATTCTCCCTAAAAAATATATGTTTATTACCAAAAGGAATAATATTATATTATAAGCTTTATATTATATATGTCACGGGTCAAAACTTTAGAATGCACTTACATTATTCCTTAATTTTACTTGGGTATATTTGATATGAAGAAAAATATTTTCTTGGAAAAACAAGTTAGTTTCTAACTTATTTTCTTATGTTTGGTTGGTAAGTGAAAAATATTTTCTATTGTTTGGTTGGTAAATAAAATATTTTTTCCAGAAAGTATCTTTCTTTTTAGCTAGAGAGTAGAAAATACTTTTTAAAAAATAGTTTCTAACATGAAATAAACCCCAATAATCGATTCGAGACACAACCCTGACATTTGAATCAGGATTCGACCTCAATGAATCTGGTCCCAATTCTCTAAAGTAGGAGCTAACCCCAATTCTCGGCTTGGGATCCGACACTCGGATTGTGACCCAATCACATTTATGGCACCCACATCAAAACTCGACTCGACACCCGAACTGAAACTCAAATCCAACACCAAAATTGGGTTTCAACCCCGAAAACTGATATGAGATTCAACCCCGATGATTGATATGAGATCTAGCCAAATTCTTGACGTAGGAGCTAACTCTAACTTTTGATCTCTGACCCGACATTCAAACTGGAACTCGATTTCAATCCGCTACCTGACCTCGACTCCTAACTCGATCATTTAAACAGGGACCCACCCAACCCCGACACCCAAATCGAGTCAAGACCCTAATGATTGATCTAGAATCCGGCCCTAAGGCGTGACTTAAGATTTTTACCAACTCCCATTCGAGACCTGGCAATTCAAATAAGGACCTGACCCTCATATTCGACTTCCTAAAACCAACATCGACTTCCGACTTGGGAGCTGACTCTAATTTTGATATGAGTCCCGATATTCGATCTGTGATTTGACCCCTGCCTCTATACTCAAATCGGAATACAATTTCGATGATCAATCCAAAATCTAACACACCCGAGTCAACTTGCAACCCAAGATTTAACTTCCAAATCTGGATTCAACCTTTACTTTTGGACCGGGACCTGACCACACCTGACTTGGATCCTGACTTTTAAATAGGGATTTGACCTTTACTCTTTGAGCGGGATTCGACCACACCTGACCCAGATTCTGACTTTCAAATCGACATTAAAAAATAATTTTTTAGTGTTTTTTTCTGGGGGAGGGCGGGGTTGAGGTAGGAATAGGATAAAAAACAATTTTTTACAAAATTTGTAATATTCTTTAGAAATAAACTTTCATTTCTCTCTCTGTGTGTGTGTCGGGGGGGGGGGGGTAAATAACTAAAAATTTTAAAATTTGAAATATTTTTTAAAAATAGAAGTAAATTATTTTCTTTAGGGTTGAGAAAAATAAGCGAATTTACAGAATATTTAAGTCAACCAAATAGAAGAAAATATAATAACATTTTTTAGAAAATATTTATATTTTCCAGCCAAACACGCCCAATTTGTGTTCTAATTTGGTACTTAGTTGGGAACATAAAAACACTTGTAGACTTTAAAATAAAATGACTGGTGGCACCCGAATTTCTTCAGGGAGTCTGCAGTGTACTTATTTGTCCTACACCCAGAAATAGGTGTGACTTGTAATTGACTAACGCATGGCTACCAACTCTTCCTCCCATAGCCCTCGCACCGTCGAGGAGATCTTCAAAGACTTCTCCGCCCGTCACGCCGCCGTCCTCCGTGCCCTCACTACAGGTACTTTGCTTTTTCTAGATTCCTCTTTACTTCTACTATCTCATTGTTTAATTGATTCGCTGCCACTCTCAGATGTGGAGGATTTTTACTCACAGTGCGATCCAGAGAGAGACAATTTGTGTTTGTATGGACATCCGAATGAGTCTTGGGAAGTTGCTGTTCCGGCCGAGGAAGTTCCGCCGGAGTTACCGGAGCCGGTGTTAGGTATCAATTTTGCTAGGGATGGGATGGAGCGTAGAGACTGGTTGTCTTTGGTTGCTATGCACACAGATTCGTGGCTGCTCTCTGTCGCTTTCTACTTTGGTGCTCGCTTAAACAGAAATGAAAGGTACGATCTTTCTGTCAAACACATTCAAACTTGAAACAAAACCACTTCTTTTTTTTTTACTGATTCAATTCTTTGCTGTTCTGTGTAGACACAGAAAATTTGACTAGGGTTTTGTTGGTACAAGTTACTTCTTGTAAAGCATATGCCTTTACTGTTACATGCCAATGAAAATAGAATGAGTCATCCGAATTTTTCTTCTATCTGCGGAACATAACAAGTCTAATTATTGTTTGAGCAAAGTGTTTAAATTTACAGAGTAACTTTAGCCTAGTATATGAAAACTAAGAAATTCAGATTAAATTAACCAACTTTTGCAATTAAAATCGAAAAGAGTAACATTTAATCGTTTGACTTGGAAGAAAATAACCTGATAATTCTGATTGGACTGAACACACAGAGAGAAGGGGAAGTTTCATTGAGAGAATCAAATCCCACTGTTATACAGGGGAAGGGGGCAATGGTTGTGGAATAGAAAATTTTGCTCAGACTTGAACTTAGGGACACAAATAACCATCACTTCATCTAGAGAACTTCACAGGTTTTTATGATAAGTACATCAAATTTTTGGAATTTTCTCTACACATTTGATGAGAACAAATTTTAAAATGGGGGATAGATAAGTGTGGAGGGTTGATCAAATATGAGGAGACTAGAAGGAGAAGGCAATTGTGTCTTCTCTTGTTCCCACAACTGTCTCACCCATATCACCTTCCTGGACTTATTAGTATCACTTCATCAAGTGCCACCACCTTTGAGCACCTTGTACTTTATCTTCTGCACCAACTCCTTCAGCTCACCTCCACCTCTTTTGACTTAACATTGTTGCAAGCTCTCCACATCAGATCTAGATGATTCATGCCCTGCATCTAATTCTTCACCTGGTGCGAATTTCTCTCCTCTTAGTTCTCCAATTGCTTTTCCTAAAGGTACTGATCTACTTTTGATCCTAGGTCCAATTATCATCGTTTATTATTACACTAACATGTCTTTGTCTCATCATTATCTTTTGTTAGTATCCCATGTCTACAGGCAAAACCCTCTCTTGTTCAGGATGACGATGATGACAGGTTATGATTGAAGGTGCTTTACACTCTAATGGTTTTTGAGGATTTTTTCCTTGCCTCCAGATAAAATTACTATAGGTTGTTGTTGGGTTTATGCAGTTAAAGTAGGCTTGGGTAATAAAAAATTGACCAGCATAAGGTTATACTCAAATATTCGGGCTTGGTTAAAGTGATAATTTTCTCTCCTATGGCTAAAGTTGCATATGTACGCCTTGGTTCACGGTTCCTTTTTACCGTTGACTTCTTTTATTATTTGACATTCAGAATATTTCTCCGCGACAATCTTGAGGATGAAGTATTTATGGAAAAACCATTGGTTTTGTTGCTGAAGGGAGTCTAGTTATATTGTAATTTGTATGCCCATTGCATTTATTGCTATATGGTCTGAAGTAGTCTCCTCGAGTATGGTTTGGTAAGTTCAGCATGGTTGTTCAAGAGTTTAGTATGACTCACATTGAGGTTGATCAATATGTGTTCTATCAACACGCTTCTCCAAATCTGTGTTATTTGGTAGTTTAAGTTATGATATAGTTATCACGGGCAATGATCTAGGCAGAGGAAGTATTTCATAGGCGTTGAGGTCGCTCAATCTCAATTAGGAAGCATAAGTATGCTCTAGACATTCTCGAGGAGGCAGAACTGACAGATTGTAGGCTCATTGGTACTCCCATGGATTCATATACTAACTTCCTGTTAGGTTAAGGGGAGCCCTTTAGTGATCCTAGAAGGTACAAGAGGTTGGCTCGTAACTTGTTATACCTCACAATGACTCATTCTTACATTGTCTATCCAGTGAGGTTGTAAGTCAATTTATTTTATACTGTCCCCGTGTGGCTGCTATTGGGATGTGATTGTCCAAATTCTTTGATACATAAAGTCATCCCTATGGAAAAGATACTCTTTGAGGATCAGGGCCATGAGCATATTGTTATATACAACCAGGCGGATTAAGCAGAATCCGTTTCTGATAGATCCACTTCTGCATAGTTTATTCTTGTTGGAGGTAACTTAGTGTCTTGGAAATCTAGGAAATAGAAATGGTTGCTCAGTCTAGTGTAGAAGCAAAATGACGAGCAATGCTTGTGGCAACTTGCGGACTAGTTTGTACGGTTGCTCAAAGAATTGAAGTTCAGACAAATAAGCCAGATATAACTTGCGTGTCATAATCAAGTTGCTCTTCATATTGCATTGAATTTAGTGTTCATGAGAGAGCTAAACACATTTCTTATGAAAAAAAAGGGAATTTAAAACACGGCAATTGGTGATCACTTTGTCAGATAAAATACTTTCAGGAGACATTGTCAGAAAGTCCATGAAGTCAAATGGATAGCTTGCACTAACTTGAGGGGGAGTGTTGAAAATATGGTATAGAATAATGCTTATATTAGTTAGACACCCAATAGCTTGGAAATAATCAAGATCTTTTTTATCAGACATACTGGGAGAACAATGGAATAAGATCAGAAAGATTTTCTATGGACAGGTTACATAGTGAATAGGAAGATACATCTAGGGAAGTGGCGTACAGTGATTGACAAAGAAAATAAAAGGCTAGGATAAAGAACTTGAGTATCTGGGATAAAAGTTTGTCGGTTATGGCTAAATGATCATGTTCTGACCAACAGATGGATATATGGTACAAGTTTGTATAGGAAAAATATGATATGGGTGATTGATGGTGTACTCTTCCATCACATCTTTACATAGGTGGGCATAAGGAAACATATATGCTGTTTCTTTGGATGAGTACCACAATTTGTTGAAGTTAAAGTGTCCGATGGTAAAAAATAAGTTTCTGATCGGTTTCTGGACATAAACTTCCTGTGGAAGATACATTTGAATATCTTTACAACCTTGCACTTAATACTTCAATAGCTGTGTATACAAGTGGAGATGGTTGGGATAAAAGGTTGACAAGGAATTTTCAAGATTGGGAGATTAAAAATGTTATTCAGTTTTTCAGAAAGCTAGAAAACTTCAAGGAACAAATTAGCACTTTGCTGGACCATGAAATTTTGCTCACTTAAGTTTGAGACAGTGCAGAAAGCCGGAAACCAAATGTGGGATATTTGCCAAAGCATGAATGAGACATCGCAGTGCAATGATTAATTTTCTTATATTTCAGAGAGATCATTTGTGAAAGTAGGTTCTGTCGAGGATATACTATGTCTAGCAGGTCATTTCTTTTCCAGTTTATTCAATGAGCCTGCTTTGGTAGTTCCCTGTTTAGATTTGAAATTGATTTGTTCGGCAATGAGGAGGATGTCAAGTTCCTTGTTTTATCATGCTATAATATCTTAAATTATTTACAGGGACATAGGCACTAATTTTGATATTTGAAGTCCCCCAAAAGTGAGTTGTTTTGCTTTGAGAACAACTTGTGGCCCATGTTTCCCTTAAGAAATCTGTAGAAAAGGAGTTCAACTTTATATAACAAATGTTTCATGTGTGGTACTTGGAGTGGGAAAACAACACTTCTTACAGCAAAAGGTATTTGAGAATGCTAGCACGGGAGAAGATAGAGAAGTTTGTGAACTGTTTGCTGATCATGCCCTTGTATTGATACAATGAAGATTTTGGGTTGATGAGCGTAAAGATAGACTCTATGATGGAAAATATGGACCTATTCATAGTGAAAATTTAGAATGTCTAAAGTTTTGGTGTTTTGGTATACAAAGACCAATATAGATGATATTGATTATTTCATGAATTGTTTCCTAGTTAAAAGAGGAGTAACAATACTAACCTTTGGTTAACACCACTTTTTTGGTGCTTAAAATTGAATAGAATATTCATTTATTAGAAAAGAGGGAAAATTATACATTGGGGTCTTAAAATGTTTCTCTAAAAAGTATAACGAAGCCTTGGTCATTTGATGTCCAATACTAAATGTGCCATCGAGTGAGACAGATCAACTTTTTTTGTTGAACCAGCATTCAAACTCTCTTGTTAGTCCGAATAGCTTAATAGACACTTGTACTTGCAAAAATTTGTCTCCGTTAACTCCATGGAGTTTAATCCCGACATCTGAACCTGTTCTACTTGTATTTTAGACCCTTTGAAGGTTGACCGACCTTATGTGACATTTGTTTTGCCTAGTAGGATAAAGTGCATGATTACACACTCTTAAAAACAAGTGCTTGAGAGTGGCAATAGCTAATCTATATATCCACAGCTATACTACATAAACATATGTAGTTCCCCTTCAAAAGTATTACTACATACAACTTGAACGTCTATCTGTTGTTCCTATAAATAGTCTAAAACGTCAAAATTATCTTCTGTTTGAGCTGTTAATTTCTGTTAACAAAACATCTCCTATTCCTTTCTTTTCACACTGTCCATGAAATGCATGCAGGAACAATCTTCCATCTTCCTTTTTGGCTGCATTGCCATCTTTGTTCCAGCAGCTTAGCAATCCTTTTATGTTCCCTCGCTCTTCAGATAAATAAGTATGTTCCGTAACTGGTCTGTCCACATACAATGTATAAAAAGATGGTTGATTGTCTCCACTTGTTCCCCACATAAAAACCTCTAGATCATAGATGAATGCCTCTCTGATTCAAATTCTGACATGTCAATACCACTTCTTTAACTAGGACCCTAGTAGAGTAGCTCACATTATAATGAATTTCTCATTCCCTTTTGTCCCACATTATAATAATGTCACCCCTAGTCCCACCAGTTCCAATTGGGCATGGCTAACCCAATTGTGCCCCCAAACTTCCTTCAGTGTCTTTGTAATATCCCCGTTAGCTTTATTTCCTGGAGACACACTACATCAACTATCCATGTATGTAGAATGTTTCTGATTAGCCTCCTTTATCTGCCACAACATAGCCCCCTAGCATTCCAAGGCACTCTTTCCAACTTCATTCATCTTTTATTGCCAGGTATCCCCCCCCCCCCCCTACATCTTGAGCCATAACTACAGAA